GGGGGGGGGAGGGAGAGAGAGGGAGAGAGAGAGAGAGAGAGAGAGAGGTTACTATTCAAAAGAAAACAACCTTTTCAAAGAGTACATAAGATGAGCGAGCCTCCCTCAGAGCACTCCAGGTAATGTTGGAAAGAAGGGATACTTTCAAGAATGCAGCACCAACGCACATAAACATACCAATGCAAAATGAGGGGGAAGAACGAAATCTCCAGTTTCTTCCTTCCAAAGCCATTCAACCGAGGTAACAGCGGAAGCAGGCAGGACAGGGCCCAGAAGCCAAGTACAAACCCAAGACTGTCAACAAAGAGCTAGAGTCTTCCAGAGGATTGGGCTCAATTCCCAGCACCCTGTGGTAGCTCACAGCCATCAGTAACTGTAGGGGACCTGTTGCCTGCTTCTGCCTTCCACATGCTCCAGACATAATACACAAATACATGCAGGCAAAATACCACACACACAAAAGTAATTAAAAGATATGTCAACATGACAAAAAGAATATATTATAATTTCAGGGTATTCAGTTCCCAGACACTGGAACTCACAGAAGCAAAAGAAGTAGGATGGGCAGACAGGGAGCACAGAATGAGCCAGGAATGCCTTCAGACATACTTGGGAAGTGCTTAACTGACTCAGTGGCAGATTTCTGAACAAAGACTACTACAAAGTGAAGCTCAGACTTCTCAGATCCAAATCCAGATATCAGGCACTGAATCTTAAAGGAGACTATGACCACAGACTCAGCCTTTCAAAACAATTCACGGAAATCTCAGGATGTAGAAGTTTTTAAAACATGAAAAAAAGTCACAAAAGTTATGTACTCAATGCATTCTTGAAAAACGCACTATTTAAGCAAAACCACTAATAAGAAAAAAACAAACAAACAGTGAAAGTAGAAAAAGAATAAAACCATGTCACATACAATACACTGATATTTCAAAAGTTTATGTTGTTTGAGGTGGGGTCTCAATATAGTTTCGCAGGCTGACCAAACTTTCTATCCTGCCTCTGCTTCCCAATTGCTGGGATCACATCATATTCAGCTCAAAAAATTTTAAGAAAACTTATGAAAAGGAAAGCACTAGATAAGTGACTTATCATACAGTTACAAGAGCAACACTGCGTGACCTGAAAGGCTTATTTCAGAACTAAGAGTGGCTTAATATTAGGAAACTCATTACATTAACAAAAAATCAAAATTAGCAGGACGGTGACAACGACAACACACGTCCTAGAACTCAGAAGGCAGAAGCAGCTTTCGCTGAGTTCAAGGCCAGCCTGGTCTACAAAGTGAGTTCCAGAACAGCAAGGCTGTCTCAAAAAACAAACAAACAAAAACAATCGTTGGTCATCTTTGTAAGATTTGAAACAGAAAGCTTATGATAACACCAACAAGAAAAGTATGATGTCTAACTAAAACAAGTCACAATGCAACACTTATTTCTGACTGGGCCCAGAGAGCTAGAAGACAGCTCTCTCAGTGAATAAAGCCCTTACTCACTCACACAAGCATGAGGAGCTGGATTCAGGTTCCCAGAGGCCAAGTAAAGCCAGTCACAGTGGCAGGAACCTGTAATCCCAGGAGACAAAAGAACTCCAGGAATCTTCTCTGGCCACAGAGGCAAACAAGCTGGAAAGCCAAGACCAACATCCAAGGTTCTCTGACCTCTGCACAGGTTCAAGTGTGTGCACAAATGTACACTCTACAATGTACATGTGCTACACACACACATTTACATAATACAAAGAAACCTTGGGGGTGTTAAAAAGTGTGGTAATACATGCCTGTGATCCCAGTACTTGGGAAGCTGAGAAAGAAGACATAGGTTATCCTCAGCTACATGCTGATTTGAAGCCAACATGGGCTACAAGAGACCTCATGTCTCAATAAAGACAAAACAAAACTACAAACCAATGAATAAAATTGCTACCTACATTTTAATGTTATAAAAGAAACAAAACCACTCCAAACCAAACAAACCCTACCAGTAAATTAGAAGGAACTGTAACGGCCATCTACCCTTCTACTTGGTTTCTGAGACAAGGGCTAAAGATTTCTGAATGATCAAGGATCACAGACATGCAACCCCACGCTGGTTTATGCTGGTACTGGAACCAACCCATGACTTTTATCAATATTAGGCAGGCGTTCTCCAAGTAAGCTACTTTCTCTCTCTCTCTCTCTCTCTCACACACACACACATACACACACAGTAAAATACTAGCTTACTCAAGACAAAGGAATATTCCTCACTGTCCACGTCACTCCATTCCCATGTTCTAGGATATAGAGGAGTTTGAGGAGCACAGATATTAGAACAAACTCAAAAACAATCCAGGGTGTGGTGGTGCATTCCTTTAATTCTAGCCCTCAGGAAGCAGAGATAAGTGGGTCTGTGATCCTCCTCTACAAAGCTCCAGGACAGTCAGGGCTAGACAGAAAAAAAAAAAAAAAAAACTTTTGGAAACAAACAAAAAAGGAGTAATAATCCGGCGTATGCAAAATATGCGCTTGCAAACCAGCAAATCTAACAACTAACTAAAAAGTATTGAAAATAGCAAACAATAAATAAAAAAAGACATCCCCCAAACAGTAATTTGTCCCATTCAGGTAACAGTTCTGAATAAAGCTGTAAAAGATGAAGAATATGAAGCATGCAAAAGCCACATTAAATACAAAACCAGTGACTAGGAATAAAAGACCTGGATAGTTTATAATTGGGACAATAGAGGATTAAGGAAATTAACTCATCACCCTAATAATGAATACCTTGAATTCAATTCAGAATACCCAGGGAAGCTTCTCCCTGCAGTTTGCAACTATAAACTCAACTATCAATAGTTGAGAAAAATAAAGGTAATTTAAGAAGAAAAGGAAGAAGGGCTGGGGAGCTGGTTCAGAGGTTAAGGCCACAGTTTGGATCCCCAGAACCCACATAAAATGCTATGTAGGTAAGGTGGTCCATCTTTGTAAGGGTTATGGAAAGCCCTAGAATCCCAGAATGAGCTAGCTATCCAGAATGTCTCCAGACCAGCACATCAGTGAGATCTGGGTCAGTGAGATCAACATGACCTTGGGGCCTCTACATGCACCCCCACACATATGCAAACAAACAAACACACACACACACACACATATAAAAACAGAAAAGGGAATGCTCTACCTGACAGAGATAAGTATAAAAATACAAACAACTATACAAATCAGCAATGCAAAAAGGCAAGAAAAGTTTGAAATTTACAATAAAGCCAGTCACTTGAGAAAAAGTCTGCTTAAAGTCTTGTGATGGAAGTGTCAGATCCTTAATTAGAATACTATATTATCCTGGTGGTGGTGGTGCACAACTTTAATCTTAGCACTGGGAGGGAGAGGAAGGTAGATCTCTTCTGAGTTTGAGGCCAGCCTGGTCTACAGAGTAAATTCCAGTACAACCAAAGCTACACACAGAGAAACCCTGACTCAAAAACAAAATAAATAAAATGTATTAGAATACTATATTAAAACACCCAGAACTCAGAACTGTACTTAGCAAAAAGACAAGACACATCTTACATCTTTTCCCTATCTTCAGAGTGGTTACGCTACATAACTGTAATCCTTAACCAAACCCTAAAACAGCATTTAAATATACAGTATTCAGTATTCAATCACCCCAGTACGTAATGGAAATCTTTTTAAATATGCTGAGGAAAAAAAAAAACACTTTTCCTATAATACTAAAGTTAAAAACAAGAGTAATGAAAAGAGAAAACATTTATATAGCAATACATATCAGCAAAGTGGCCAAAGATCTGATATCTTTACTAAAAAGAATAAAATCAAGAAGTTCTGTAAACAGTAAGGTAACTATTTTATGAATGAACAGGTTCTAAGTTCACACAGACATGTGCATCAAACTGTTACTGGATGCAGGGCTTTTGTTTATGTCAAAACCCTCACTATCTCCCAATTAGTGACACACATTACATTATGGCATATCCACACAGTGAAATACATACTACATAGCTACTAAAAAGACAAAATAAAGCCAATTGTATGGACAAGAAGCTATTTTAGTAACAAATTAACAATGTTTTTTTATTCAAGGAAACAGAATCAAAGAATTTCACTTTGGCTCTAGAAAGAAAGAAGTTAAGTTTCCATCCAAAAAATTAAAGGCTTATAAAAAATTTACAAGAGAAAAAGTCTGGACAATGGCTTTGACTCTATTAGTCCAGCATGCTTTAAATGACACTGTTTGCTCCTTTCATGATAGAACGCCCATCCCCACTTACATTAGCTGGTTGCTCTCAACAGGGACATCTGTGTCTTCACTGAGTTCCAAGCTATTACGCCTGTAGGTCGAACCAACACTCAATCCATGAATTAATAATAATGAGGTAGAAAGAATTTTCTTCCTCACATTGCCAAGGAAACCTCTCAGCCACAATTGAAACACAGGACGTGTTTTTAAAACAGCTTTAAAACATCTCCCAACTCCTGGAAGATTAAGTCCATTTGCATAACCTCTGTCAGACTGGAGACAACTAGCAAAAGTTATCTCCTCAAAAACCAACAAAAAAGTTCATTTAAAGATGAACTTGAGAGTCAAAGAATTAAAAAAAAAAAAAAGAATCCATCTTCCATTGCTGAGCAATATAATTTGAAAATAAAAAGATAAAAAAAATTGAAAAAAAAAAAAGCAAAAACAACAACAAAAAAAAAAAAACACCACCAAAATTCAATAAGATCCAATTTCTGGTCTTCAAGATTTCTTCACCTATTAAGAAAAAAAACAGAAACCTTCCCCCATCTTTATTATCTGTATAATAAAAGCATACTGTATGTAAAAATATAAAGTGTTTTATGTGTAATATGCATATACATATATACGAACAGGCTTATACACACACACAAATGTATAGAAATAAAACATTTGGGTAATTATCCTTTTAAAATATAATATAAAAGCCTTCAGATTTGAGTTCAATATAAAAATAGTGAACTTACTCTTATACCAAAGTACCATGAAGTTAACGTTACTAAATTTTACCCAGCCACAAAATCAAGATGAAGAGAAACCCATATATATATGGATGTATTGATATATATGTCAAGGTATATGGTATGTATAACAACCATTATCAGGGAGGGTTTAACCAAAAAAGGTAGAAGTGTATAGTTACAGAGTAATTACAGAGTGGGGCAGAGAGCTGAGGAAGGCAGAGCAGCAGTAGAGCCATTCTGAACCAGCTCGGGCAACGCACAGAGACGCCAAAGGAAGCTAGTTTTCTTCCTTTCTAGCAACACAAGCATCACTGGCACGGCATTCTTCAACGCTGGCCCTGCAATGGCTTGCTGATACACTAGTTCCAAATTCTTTACTATTGATGGTTAGAGCTAAAGACTTCACTCCAGTTGGTAAAAGGGTAAATTTTGGGGGGAGATGAAATTTCACTCACAATGAATGGTACATTTATTTACCATTTAAGAATTAAATTTTTTTTAATTAAGTTAAGTAAAAAATTAAGTTATTTTGATATACAGAAATGAGTTTCAAAAGCAGCCCAGTAACAAAGTCATTTGATTCTTATGTAATAAACACTACATACTTTCTAGGCTAAATCTTGCCAAATACTATCCAAGACAAAACTAAAATCAAGACTTTAAAAAAAGTGGACACCTTTTACTCACACTTAATACTAGTCAATTTTCCAGGAATTTTTTGGGCAGGGAATATCCCCAAATCTAAAATGAAAAAAAGGAAAAATTGGGATCTTACATTAGTTATTCAGCCTGAAACATCTAATAGACTTAATAAAAGTCATCATTTTCTGGCCTCCCACTCAGTCACAGAAACAGACTCATGAGCGGAAAGGAGCCTAAAGGGCCTCTGAGACCATTCACTCACTGCAGCAACGATGCCTAATACAGGAAAATAGTGACTGCTTATTAAGAATACAATGGCCCAAATTTCATAGTTAGGAATACCATGCTATGGACCAGAATGTACTCTTAAAAAAAAAAAAAAAAAATGAACAAACTATAGAAATATTCTCTAGAAACTCATGCTGGGTTTGCCATGTTCCCAAGGCTTGTAGGCTACATTCCAGTCAATGTTTATTGATTTTATAAGCATCTCATGTTCCTTACTAACAAGTTATTCAAAGACACCTTATATAACACTTGTTTTTGTACTACATTATAAAAGGTAACTCAAAGATCAAAAGTAATTTTTCTAATTGTTTTGTAATGTTCCCTTTTATACATCCTCAATCCTAAATACTAAGGACAATTCTATCATACCCAGTAATCTGACATCGTAAACCGACCAGTACGAGGTAATTGTAAATTTCCAAATATGAAATAATTTTGTGGGTTTTCATTCTGTCAAGCTGGGTCAGGGGGGTTTAAAGAAATTAAAAAATAGGGAAGGAAAGAATATGTCAGTGCAGCCACTAACACATTCTCAAAGCCTTTGTGCACATAGAAGTCCTGAATCACTATACTTAAACAAATCACTGACTTCAGAGTATCCAAATTTTCCATGATGGAACAATTTTTTTATTCATATCAATGACTAGTTCAATCTACTAACCAGAAAATCCCTAAGCCGTTCAAAGCTGCACTGTATTTTCTCATTAATACTACCTTCTCTCTCAGGTGAAACAAGTGCCCCTTTGATAGATGTTAGCTACCCTGAGCTCTATAACTGTGAAATCTTCAAAGGTAACCTTCATTTTATCATCGTTAGATTGCCTCTGCAGTTTTCAGTCTTTTTGTATTTCCCGAGGTTTTTCATTTTTGTAAGACAGAATCTTAATATGTTGTCAGGCTGGTTTCAAACTCATTGTTAAAAGTTCTAATCCAGCTGTAGTGTCTCAAATAGCCAGGACTACAGGCACCATGACCACATCCAACTATTTTTTAAAGAATAAATAATGTGACTACATGTAGCAACAGTAGCAGTGAGATATAGCAAAATAGCAAAAGCTGCCCATTTTAAGGAGAAAAAGGAAAAATTAGGGTAATACTTCTTTTTCATTGTTCTGAACAGCCTTATTTTCAGGGTCCCAGCTCAGAATCAATGTAGAATAGTCATAGTTAACATTCTCCAAGTTCATTTTCAGAAATATGAGCTGTTCTATATTATCAAAGTCCATGTTCATGATCTGCTTTGGATGAAAGTGGCTATTTGTGGTAAACATGCATTCAGATTGCCAACTACACATGGGGCAACTCAGATACTGAACGGCAACTTGGGTCAAAGCTGGCCATATGCTCACCTTCCTCTGCCAGTAAACCAAGGGGTCATCACCTCCTGAGAGCTCTGAATACTTCTCTTTGAAGTATTCGTCCACTACTGCTGCAGCAGAGGGGAACAGGCTTCTGCTCCCAACAGCAGCACTGTCTATGGCTGAGCCAGCCATAGAACCTGAATTGGAGGTGCCTTCTTTTATGGAAGTAAATGAATCTGCTCCTAATCTAACTAAAGGGCCAGATGCTTCTGAGCTTGCAATTTGGCAGGCCCCAGGCAAAGATTCCATATAATTACAAACCTCTTCTGCAAGGATCTGTTTGTAAGTTTCTAAATCAGCACCTTGAGGAAAAAAGTCTTCCAAACTGTTCTTAAAACAAGGATCTAACAAAGTAGCCAAGATACAATGCTTGGATTTCAGCATGGCACTTAGTAGGGAATCAGTTTCAAGTTTCAAAGATAAACTGTCCACCAGATTGAGGGCCTGAGTAATACCTCTGACTTGAAAATCTTCCCTGAGTCTCTGCAGGGAAAAGAGGAGATGATGGATTAGAGGTAGCACCTGATTCAGTCCTGTTGTCTTTACACTCACTTTCTGGGTGGCCTCCGCAAATGGTTTAAGAATATCACAGACGTATGTCATCAGAGTCCACTGAAGGGAGGTGAGCACCACTCCACTGGCTCTACCCAGACTATGGTGAACGGAGTAGCAATGTTCTAAAAGCCATTTTAACATACAAAAGGTAGAAATCCAGTGGCCAGTTTCATCCTGCTTCAGATTCTTCCATGGAAGCTGGTGATCATTTTGGAACTCTTGCAGTATCTGGCGGGCTTTGACTGAATGGCTAAAATGATGACAGGTTTTTCTAGCAGCCACTAACATATTCTCAATGCTTTTGTGCTCACAGAAGAAGTCCTGAATGACTAGATTTAAACAATGTAGGAAGCATGGCACATGGGTAAAACCACCGCCTTTGATTGCATGAACCACATTAGAAGAATTGTCAGAAACAATGAAGCTGGGGATGAGGAAATTAGGAGAAAGCCACAGACCAATCTGGTCATTTAATTCTTGTAAAATGTTAGTTATCAAACAGTCTTTGGCTAACCCTGTAACACAAAGCACTGCCCACTTTCTGAAGTTGGGAGCCCCACTATTATTGGGAGACGCGGTTTCCAAAGAGACCCAGTGTACAGTCACAATGAAGTAGTCAGTGGAAGGGTCATGGGTCCATATGTCAACAGTCAGATGGATCTTTTGGCTCTGAACATTCTCTAAAGTTAAGAAGATTTTTTCTCTAACAGAATCATATAACTGAGGTACAGCTTTGGTGAAAAAGTAAGTCTCTGACGGCAATCTATAGTCAGGAGCAACAATCTGTAGAAACCTTTGGAAAGCTGGGGTTGAGAAATAGTTGTAAGGATGCATATCCTCCACAATCATTTGAATAACTGCCTGACTTATTTGACTCGAAGCTGCATTTTCACTATGTGTTTCTCTCTCTTGTGTATGCACCACAGTATCTTGCTCTGCAACAGGAATAGGACTCTCAGATCTATTTTCAACCTCTAAAATAGGAGGTCCATCTGTATCAGAGTCACTAAGGTCCTCAGCTGTTAAATCTTGGCTGCCTGATGACTTCTCTCCATGCACAGTATCATTTAAGAGCTCACTGCTCTCTGTCTCGGTCTCATCTAACCCATTTCCAATAGCACCACTGTCTTTGTTGGCAACAGCCCAATGGATGGGATGTGTAGCCTGAAGGTGTCGTTGCAGCGTTGATGTTCCTAAGTGAGAACCTGGCCTCCCCCGGCTCACACTTCTTTTACATATGTTACACACAGCTCTTGAGATGTGCTGAGGATCAGTATAAAAAAAATTCCAAACTGCAGATGTCTTGGCCCTGGTTCCAGGAATTAAGGCATGCTTGACAATGTTACTTTTGATGAGAAATCTCCCTCTTTTTGCCCTCAGGGCATCAGATGCTGATTTATCACGTTTCTTACCCATTCTGTTTTCCTCTAACGAATCGGTAGGAATATACTCAAAGCTTGCATTGCTTCCAGGAGAAGAAGGAGACAAAGATAAATCCAAGGTAAAGTCCTCCTCCCCATTAGTGACTCCAAACTTATTGGCTCTGGTCCAGTGAGGAGAATGCCTTGCCTGCAGATGTCGTTGAAGAGTAGATGTGCCGAGATGGCTGCCTGGCTTCCCCCTGCTGACACTTTTTTCACACAGGTTACAAATAGCTCTCCAGGTATATTGGGGGTCAACATGAAAAAAGTGCCAAACGATGGAGGTCTTGGCTCTGGTACTAGGTAGATAGATCTGCTTTTCTATATTGCTCTCAAAAAGACTTTCTTCATCTTGCTCAGGGGCGCTGGAAGCTAACAAAGCAGGAGCATCTGCAATAGGTTTCCCAGACCCCAGATCCTTAGTAAACTTTTTGGCAAGAATTAATTTTTTTCGGCGCCTTTTCCCCTTTATTCGCAAGCCCTTCTTTCTTTTCTTTTTAGAAGGCAATTTTGTCTCTTTATTCACTCCTTCTGCCACCATCTTTCCCTCTACCACATCGTCTTCGTCTACATTTGAATTAATAGAAACACATCCCAGAATCCCAGCATCACTGAAAGTACTGCATCTTCTGCCAGGAGAGATCGAGGAAACTGGTACATTTAAAGTACATACACTCATTCTCTTTATGTCTCCAAAACCCAGACCAGAACCCTATGGTGGGTCTCCTACTCCAGCAGAAACACAGCTGCCACTCTCTACTTGTATTACCTTTCCTCCAAGCTCTACGGGGAGTCAAATTCCCTTTCAACCAATGACTTCCAAGCCAGGTTATTTTTGGAGGAAAAATTACAGCAATGGAGAACATTCCCAAACTCTGTCTTGCAGGGCTTTAGGAGTCCTTTTAACTTTCTGGATTCAAATAGTCCAGTGTCCTCATGTTATAGAAAAAAGAACTGGGGCCCATTTTCCCACAGTCATGGAACCTGTAGCAGCTAAAAGTCAAGTCTTCCAAACTGCAGGTTCATGTTCTTGCTGCTGTATCAAGAACTTCATCTGCTGGACATGCCTTCAGTTCTTAAAATACGTACTTTTCGTGAATCCACATGACAACAACATTGACTTCCCCTTAACTCTGAGGTTATTTTCAGGAAATTTCACTTAAACATAGTGCATCATTCAACAGTCATCACTTGTGACTGTAATTTCCCAATACAACCCCAAAAGTCAATTCTGGAAAGCTAAATCAGATTCCACATACATAGCAGTAAACGCTAGTTGTGTTCTTTCTGTTCTGACATTTTGAAAAATGTAGGTGGCTGAAAAAAATTTATCTGGAAATAAAATTTTAAAACAAGGTAACAAGCTATATTTTTCGTTTACGGTTTCTATCAGGAGTTCATATTTAGACTGAAGCAACCTGTAAAAACTCACAAGTTGACATCCTATGAGCAGCCAAACCAAAATGAGCTTCAAACCACTTTCATTCCTTTTCCAGGGATCCCCTCCCCTCCCCTCCCCTCAATACCAACACATTTACCCTACAAAAGCATGGCTATCACTAGCTCCACAGCCGCCTTCTCAGGGTCTAGAACCAAAGCCTGGTAGATGTCAACAAACCGAGCCTTCCCCATAGGGATCCGCACCGATTATGGGCGTCTAAGGGGTGTTCTTCATTACGGTTTCACCAATCCTACACAAGAACGAAGAGTCCCTGTAGCTCTTGACTTCGAAGATGAGGGCTGGGGTGGGAGAGTAATCAGGGTGGGGAACGGGGTAGAGGACACCAGAATTCGGCTATGTATGTGGAATATGAGAAAATCTCCAAAGTAGTAGGACCCTAGAGAGGAATGAGTGTGGGTAAACTAGGGCCCAGGCACTCGTTCTGATTTAGGGAGGAACAACCACAAAAAAGAAACAAAAAAAAAAAAACCCAAAAACTAATTCCGGGGAGAAAGCAACCTAGTGTCAGTTCCCCTCCGGGGGTCCGAAACAGTCGCTTTTCGGGGGCTACCCCCGGATCCTGGTTCGGGAACACCGGATGTGGGGGGAGGGGAAGAGGTTGGTAAGTAAGGGAGCAGGCGCCGTGGGGGTGGAGCGGGTGGGGGCGGGGAGGGTGGGAAAGTGAGCTGGAGTCTGGCTAGGAGCCCAGCAGGCCAGGGCCGCGGGCGGGAGTCCCGGTAGCTGCCGAGCTGATGGGCCCGGCTCGGACTTCCCGGGCTAGGCCGAAACTCAGGCGAGGGGAGTGGTCTCCCCTCGCCCTCTCCTCCCTCCCAGGTCCCAAGTCACCCGGGAATCAAAAAACGGGTCTAGTTACCAGAGAACAGAAACTTTACCGAACCGATGACACAGTCTCTGACTCCCGCGTGTTGCCACGTCTTTCTCTTTTCTTAGCCGCGGTCGCCAGCCGTCCTCACAGCAGCAGAACAAGCAGAAATCCGAGACTGCCAGCGTCAAAGATGGCGCCCGGCTACAGGTTCGGCTCTAAGGCTGGGCCAGTAAAAGTGCCAGCACGACGCAAAGCGCAGGCATTCTGGGAGTTGTAGTTTCCTCTATGAGGCGAGCCTTAAGATGGCTTCTTGGGTCATAGGGTCACGTGCCACGGAGACGCTAGGGTGTGACTTTCTCTGGACCCGGATACTTCTCTGAAAATTATTCTTCGCGAAAGTTTTGTTTTGTTGTAAAATCAGGGAAATAAGCAAGAAACCTCTCTACCAG